ACCTTACGAAATTATATAGCCATCTATTGGTTTCATTCAACTAATTTATATTAACTAAGTCACCAATGAAAATGTTAAATGGAGAAGTACATAAACATCAACATCAACACTTACAACTCGATATACACCAACAACGGCAACATGTGGAAGAATCATTACTTTCATAATTTCATAATAGTATTCTCAATGCCTTTAGTCAATAATTTTCTTGTCCAAAATTGCAAATCATTTCGTTTCCACTGCGTATTAAATGATGAAACTTTTTACATGCTTGCCAGAAATGCACTATCGACAATTGCCATATTCAGACTAGTAAAATGACGTTGTTTTAAACTGCATTTGATGCATAATTTTAATCGTAAATTCACAAAATATTGCCTTTTGTTTCACCCTTTAGTAAGCCGCCATTTTGAAATTAGTATCATTACGTCATTTCATCTATAAGCTGTCGTTGATTGGCTATGAGCACGCTTACAAATTTCCGGTACGCGCACGATGGCAATATATCTGCTTCGCAGATACAAAAACATTCGGCGTGTTGAGTGAATGACGTCACATCCTCTTCAAAACGCCTTCTCGCTTAATTGCGTGCGTTTAATGGTGGCTGTAAAATTGGCAAATAAGAATCGTAAAAAGGTCAGGAAGATGAAAGAATTTTGCCTTGAATTTTGATTAGAATATCAAGAATACGTTACATTTCTGGATTATAAAAAAAATAATGATAGTGCCACTTTAATAGAAAAAGTAATATTTTCCATTTTCGGTCCTCGATTGTCGACCCTCGACCTCGACTTTCGACACTCGACCTCGACTTTTGACCCTCGAAACCAAACTTGAGTATTTGTTTCTAATTCGGTTTTCTTTTCAGGAAAACAATTTACAGTAACATAGAAGCTAAGTATAATTCTTTAACGGTCTCAAAATCTTCAATTAATTTTTTTCCTCTAACCACTCAATTTGATGGAGGCCAGGCTGCTATACGACCTATATTTCCGACATAATTATTTATACTATTCTAATAGTTATAACTACATTGATATGGTCAATCGTTAGAACAGGCCTTTCATTCGAGAAAGAAGCCATTTTATTCCAGAAATGGGGCAATTGTGCAGTTTTGAAAACTCAGAGATCCCAAGGATAGTGCAAAGTTGATATGACAACTGACCAGAAAGCACTATAAGGGGTGTGCACACTATAAGGGGTCCATATATAGGCCCCACATCCACCCTTTATCGTGCATGCCTGGTCTGTATTATTATACTTTTAATGTTTTATAGTCTGTATATACTACAGAATTTTAATTGATTACTTTAGTATGCTGTTTACATTTCCAGAAATATAATTTTACCACACATACTAACGGAACATAAGTACTAGAGATTTTTTATCTGATATACAAACTCGAGCCGAAGGCGAGATGCGAATGTTTTATCGTACTTATAAAACGACCCATCTTATGAGTTCATTGGCGAAGTAATTTAAAAATAAACATGCATTGTCTAAGCCGAGAAAATCAAAGCTGAAGTTTATGTATTAAGAGCGACTGTCCGTAAAAATCGAGCAAACAGTGGCAATAGATGAAAAATAGATTTCTTTTATATTTTGCTCAAACTTAGGTAATACCTAGTTATAAATGGTGTTTGGGTTAGATATTCAATATTTGGTCGATAAACGTACAAATATCAGAAATCAAGAATTTGTCTCCGGAAGGCTATAATTAGCTACAGACAAAGTTGTTGCCATGGTCAATTTCATCACCTCGCGACAGATTCAAAACTGCCCGTAGATAGTTTTGATGGTTTAATGACTATAATTCAAGTATTAAAGAACAATTTTATCAGTATAGAATGGCCCAGGAGGCTTTAACTGGCCTGACAGACGTTGTTGAAATTGGCTATTTTTAGTCAAATTTTACAATTGCATTTTGTCACTGGATTTGAAGGGGAAATTTACTATGTGCGATAATCGTGAATTTGTTTATATTTCATCCACGGAATGGTATAGCATGAGTACATGTTATATATAAAAACTAGCTTGGGTTATTGCCTTGGAGCCTCACGCGAGACTTTTAAATAAGCTCATTTTGGTGATTTCCAGTGGAATGTAACACAATTAAATCATTAGGCCCATACGTCTATACTACCAGAGTCACGAAGCTCAAATTGTTCAAAACTTTGAATTTTGTGTTTCGATATCAATGTATATGCGTTGTATACTTTATAAAGAATCGTTTAGAAGGATTTTCAATATATTTTAGTGATAGGCCTACTTACAAAAAAAGCACAACAAATCATCATATCATTATACTAGACTGTAACGTTGCTATTTATACTAGCAATTCGCGTGTTGTTACTGAATGTATATTTAATATGTCTGCAGTCTGTAAGCTTTTGAAGTCTTATAATTTCTTATTTTTGTTTAATGCTTTCTCTGTTTTTGTAAACTAATAGAATTAAAGCTAGGTAAATGCAATAAAAGTACATAAGTTGGAACATGTATATGTTTACACTTTACGCTAGACATTTTTCTGGACTCTCCTGTTACGAAACTAACAAACAGGTGAGAGTTTTACTATAGTGCGAGGCAGCGAGGCATATGAGGCACGATGCGAGGCATGAAAAAAAGTGCGAAGCATGCGAGGTAGAAGTGCGAGGCATGAAAAAAAGTGCGAAGCATGAAAAAAAGTGCGAGTCAGGCAGATGGGCCAGTGGGAGGCAGACACAATGACTGACTCCAAAATTTGACGATATTTAACATATTGAACATACTTAACTTGACGCTGGACAAACGGACAAATGTGAACGACATTCTAGTTTTAATAACAGTTCTGTCTGTACATTATAGTTTTAAATAACTACAGCACTCCAGTCAAAACGTCAAAAAGTAAACATTAACCTAGACAATAGCTCAACAAGTGACAAGCTTCACTAAAAATTATGGAATATTAACTATTTTGCGTTGTTCATCTGTCAATTGAAAAACTACGTTCATACAAACTGCCCAAACTCGATAAGGTTTTATAAACGAATTTCTGGGTAATTTGGAAATGCATTCAAACCAAGGGAAACCAATGGCCCAAGGGCAGTGGAAAAAAAGGCCCGTCAGGACTCGCGGGATTGCCTCACATGCCTCGCAGCCTTCCTCGCATCAGTCGCATGCCTCGTATGCCTCGCGGGCTTGCCATTGCCTCGCTGCCTCGCAGTTTGTGTGCACCCACAGGTGACCTTCTTCTACATATGCTACAAATAAGAAAAAGATATATGTACATGAGCAAAATAAAAACTGTGAAAAACTCAAAATGGAAGCGACAAGGAACGACTTCGATGTTTTGCCCGAAAATACAAGCGGAATAATGAACGTGACGACCTAAAAAGTAGAAATAATTATAGTGTATGCATATGCAAGAAGTAGTTTGTGCAAGAAAATAAACCAAAAGTGACTGTCGATAAATTTATTGTATAAAAAGTTCTTTAACTGAACCATACAAAGATATTTTTCGTAGGTTCATAAGTTCGGTATTCGACAATTCTTCAAGAACTGTTCACACGCCTCCTGGTCTTAATTTAAACGGTAATTTTTAATTTAAATTCTGTTTCTTTTTAGATTTTTACTGTAATGTTAGAAACTACTTTTTATTAATATCTAAACTACCCGTCTAATGTATTTTTTTGTTTGTTTCAATTACCTTAAATAATTAAATAGCAATGTTTTTAAAAGTTTACAATTTGGCATGAGCAGATGTTTCCCCGCGGTGTTCGTTTCCACCATTTCCAGCGAAATAAAAACCAACTTCTGCAATTCCGCTTATTACGATAGTATTCATAGGTGTTGTAGCCTGCGTGCAGGCTAGCCTGCGAGCAGGCTCTCTGGGGAAAGAGAGCCTGCAAGGATCCCTATGATGATTCGGTGCATGCGTCCAATATTTGGACGCAGTGCTCTGATTGGTTGATAACTGATTCATATGAAGTGATTGACAAGCTTCCATAAACTTGCACTTCCCGTTTGTAAAACCGAACAACGCAAAGCTTCGGAATTGCGGCAATGTAGAGATAAAAGTGTCATGTATTTTGATCCTGGTTGACTTTTTACTGTAAATTAATATAGTATTCATATAAAGACGAATACTAAAAGCTTGCATGCTTTATTGTGTCCTTGGCTTGTCTGACTCCTAAGCTAAGAATAATTCTTGAGAAAGACTGCACAAATTCGCAAACCGAAACCTAGGAACAAGGCATTATATCGCTTCTCTTTTATGAAACAATATTGGGAATTCTGATAATATTCAGTGCATATTGTGTGTATTAAGCTTGTTTTACAATGTTATACTGACTATTTAATATTTATAAGTATGCGGCGTTAAAATGTACAGTAATTTACTCGTCACTTTGTTTACAATAATTATCACATGCATGTTTACTGCAATTCCACTTTTTGTTGCCAAATTTGAACTATAAACATATTATTAAATTATGTCCAATGTCCATGGTATATCATATATGTCTATGTCTCACCAAAGCCATAAATTTCAGTAAGTTATATTATTACTATATATATAGACTGTATACAGTGTATATTATATATTGCAGCACGAAGCAATTCCAAATAACTGAATTAGTTGGCGGGTAATATACAACTTTAAACTTACTGTGCCTACAGGAGAAACACATGCAGATTGTAATAAAAAGTACAACTTGATATATTACTCTGTAAAACCTCGAGCCGTTTTAACTTTTTTAGTATGCCACAGGCCAGGTCTGTATACGAAACTATTTGAAACGAATCGGTTTATGTTTACAATATCGTAGTGTATTATATTCCGGTCTGCGCTGATTGGTTGTTATTAATTGACCTGTGACATCATAATTGAAGGGCGGCACGCAATCATCATAGGGATCCTTGCAGGCTCTCTTTCCCCAGAGAGCCTGCTCGCAGGCTACGTGCAGGCCCAAGGGATAACTGATAGTGGGCCTGCAACCATCGCCCGGTATTTTGTAAAACGACCCTTTTCATTACATGCCCCATTCGCGCGTCAATTGTCAAAAAAGAACCAATGACAGCACCCAAATATTAACAAACAACTCGCATTAAAATGTTGCGGGGTTTTCTCTGCTTATTCTGAACATAAACAATGTGTAAATGGCTGCGTTCTAACTCCAAAAAAGCAAGCAACGCAGTCAGTAATTGCCAAATTTGCAAGTGCTCATTTTCAACTAAAATCGGAACAGGCAAATTAGGACGAATTTCAACAGAAAACCAGTCTCAAACTTCAACTCATGAGGGAAGTCGTGCGACCACATTAGGATTTATATTATGTGTGCTTCGCTGTCGCCATTGGCATTGTTATAAATAAATTGTCTCACTTATCAGATCGTGTGTGCAATTCTTGTTGGCGGCGGAAAGTACGAAATTTATTTCATTTATTTCATTTGGTAAAGAACTCTACAAAAGAAGAGAGCGTTCCGAGTCCTGATCGTTTCGTTTCAAACGGCAATTTAATACCGCCTTCTGTTTCGCTCTTTCAGCGAACCCTTGTAAATCGCAAAGTGTTTCGAATAAGCTTACAGTCCTTACATGCAACTGCATCTCAACATCAACCAAAAGATAATTTTCTTGAGGAAGTGAGAACACATAACGTATCAACTGAAGTCTGTTTGAAATTAATGAAACTTAAGTAAAGGTTACTATAGTTTACCCCAGTCGTAATTTGCTATTCCAACACCTCACGACAAGCAACCCCATTGGCATAACGGCAAAAACATGTCTTCCTTCAAGTAAACAATAAACAGTCTGTTCTTGTTCCATTTGTAATCGAAAAAAGTGATCAATTTTCAAATTTTAAGCTTATCGAGAGCCTTTGTCTATGCCTTTGTGATGAATCACTGTTCCCTTGGGCCTGCACGCTGGCTAGGTTAATTAATTACCGATCGCCTCAGCTAGCCAATGGGAATTTAGCCGGCGGTTTGGCCGGCGAAATTCGAAAACATGGGGTGATGGTTGCAGGCCCACTATCAGTTCCCTTGGGCCTGCACGCAGGCTATAGGTGTTGTGATAATTATAAATAAACCCAGGGCTGCAAGATCAGCCGTTCCGCACGTTGTAACCAATAATGTATTGGCGTTGTAATGCCATTGTATGCAATAAAGTATTGGGTTACAATGGGTCTACAATTAATCCAAACGTTAATCCTAATGCAAACCCTAACCCTAATCTTAACCCCTAACCCCACCTGCTAACCCCTAACGCTTAACCCCACCCCCTAAACCCAAACCCTAACCCCTACCCGGCCGGCTGCCTCGCACTATAGTAAAACTCGTCACCTGTTTGTTAGTTTCGTAACAGGAGAGTCCAGAAAAATGTCTAGCGTAAAGTGTAATGTTTCAACTTATGTACTTTTATTGTATTTACCTAGCTTTAATTCTATTAGTTTACATATGCAGAGAAAGCATTAAACAAAAAGAGAAATTATAAGACTTCAAAAGCTTACAGACTGCAGACATATTAAATATACATTCAGTAACAACACGCGAATTGCTATAAATAGCAACGTTACAGTCTAGTAGTGATATGATGATTTGTTGTGCTTTTGTTGTAAGTATATAGGCCTATCACTAAAATATATTGAAAATCCTTCTAAACGATTCTTTATAAAGTATACAAAGCATATACATTGATATCGAAACACAAAATTCAAAGTTTTGAACAGTTCGAGCTTCGTGACTCTGGTATAGACGTATGGGCCTAATCATTTAATTGTGTTACATTCCACTGAAAATCACCAAAATGAGCTTTTTTAAAAGTCTCGCGTGAGGCTCCAAGGCAATAACCCAGGCTAGTTTTTATATATAACATGTACTCATGCTATACCATTCCGTGGATGAAATATAAACAAATTCACGATTATCGCACATAGTAAATTTCCCCTTCAAATCCAGTGACAAAATGCAATTCTCAAATTTGACTAAAAATAGCCAATTTCAACAACGTCTGTCAGGCCAGCTAAAGCCTCCTGGGCCATTCCACATTGATAAAATTGTTCTTTAATACTTGAATTATAGTCATTAAACCATCAAAACTATCTACGGCCATGGCAGCGGCTTTGTCTGCGGCTAATTATAGCCTCCTGGAGACAAATTCCTGATTTCTGATATTTGTACGTTTATCGACCAAATATTGAAAATCTAACCCAAACACCATTTATAACTAGGTATTACCTTAATTTGAGGAAAATATGAACGAAATCTATTTTTCGTGTATTGCCGCAGAATTCAAATTTTGCTCGATTTTTACGGACAGTCGCTCTTAATCAGGACAAATCTTTATGCGATTTAGGCCTGGTTCAAACGTCGAATTTTGCATGCGTCGAATACAATTCGCATTTCATTCGAGCGAATTCAATGAATTCGACGTTTGATTCAAACGTCGCATTTTGCATGCATTTAATTCGAAATTGTAAGTGTTGTAGAGTGTAGCTAGACACGCTCCTTTGATAGTTTTAATTAATAGATTGACATTTATTTTTAACCTAGCTGTGGTTTAACAACAAGAGCGAAGTTTCGCTCAAAAATAAACACAGTATGTCAGTAGGGCCATTTATACGACTATACCAGCGAAATAAGCCGTCGCTCGTCTTATAGCTTATTTAAAGCACGAAAAAATACTATGTAGTCCCGTATAAATGTTCTTGTTCGCGACTTTATTTTCGCTTGTATATAAACTGACATCAGGCTATTGACTATTTTTCACACAAAGACACAAAAAAATCATGAAATTATTACCATTCTATGTCCTACACGCGAAATTTGATCCATTAACACTACATGCCGTCCTTTTACCTCGTTCCAGTCTTTTCCCGCAAGCCCCACCCTAGCAGAATTGAATTCGACACATGGAAAATGCAACGTCTGAAACAGGTCGCATTTAGCTCGCACTTAGCTCGCATTATGCGACCGGTCGGGTCGAATTTAAAGTTAAGGTCGACCGCAATTAAAAACGTCGCATTTAATCGTTTCAGACGTCGAATTTTGCATGCACATAATTCAAGCAATTGAATTCGACACATGCGAAATGCGACGTTTGAAACAGGCCTTACAAACATTGATTAAACATTCGTTTCTTTTGTATTTTCCTCATGAATTATGAATGAGTTTTATAATGACAAATAGCATACAGACTTTACAGTCAGTATAAACTATAATTATATAGTGTAGACTGCAGAAAATGTATAAAATGCAGAATACAATGTATATATACCCTGGTTCCAGAGGTTTATTTTTATTATTATCATTGCGAAGGGGAGAGGAAAAATAAACCTCTGGTTGAAAGCGGCAATTGATTCATCGAGCCGCGCCAATCAGTTTGAATTAGGGTCAGATCCCGACTCTGTCTCCTGATTGGATGATTGTACTAAAGCTCTCTGATTGATTCAAATAAAACATCTATAACCAATCAGAGAGCTTTAATACAATCATCCAATCAGGAGACAGAGTCAGAATCTGACCCTAATTCAAACTGATTGGCGCGGCTCGATGAATCAATTGCCGCTTTCAACCACAGGTTTATTTTAAACCTCTGAAACTAGGGTAATGTATATAAAGTTGCTTACTGAAATTGCAGACTTGGCATATAATATGCAGACTATATTGAATAAACATGACTATATCGATCCTTAGAAAATATAAAGCACGAGCCTTCAATTTCCTTAATTTAAAATCAATCGCCCAATTTAAAAATATATATTCATATATATTCAAATATATTCATGCTAAAACAGCACATCAGAGGCAGCACATACCAGTGCTTAGTCTTCTAGAACAAATCACAATCGCTAAAATATTTGTGTTGCGTGATTGAAATGTATAGGCTTTGCAGCGCTATTTATAGAACTACATTTAACTACTTTGTTTACTACATTGACATTTTGACAGTGTATATAGGCGTTTGATCAGATGCTTACGCATATGCTTGGGTTGAAGGGCTTAATATTCAAGACAAAATAACAATAACTAAGTATGTCTTATATAATAATTTAATCAGGTTTTCATATAAATGCAGTAAGATTCGCCTGTTGTCAAGAGCCTGTACGTGTCTGTGATCATGACATTAACTGCCATCGTTATTTAATATAAACATTAAAGAATTAAGAACCATGCATAGTCTCTTTCTGCATGCCTGTGCTCCGGAGTAAAATTTTACAGTTACAACAAAATGGCAATATAAGATGCGAGTTGTTTATACTTATACAACCCTTATAGGTAGTATACGGTATTGAGTTATTTTTAATAAAATGTGTAAGCTATAAATTTATATTAAAACTATCATGACCACACTCCACAGGCGCTTTTTTATGTTCTGTATCACTCTGTTTCTTTGTTAGATAATATAAGCACAAAAACAAGGTTAAAAGTGACTGCATCTTTGACTTTGATAGTAATGATAGACCCGTTCTATACACGACATCGTACTGCGACTCCTCTGACACCGCCATATTAAAATTGGCGCAGTGCAGAGCACGTGTATTGTTTCATTTGATTTTGTTGCACGGAGGGCGAGAAAGTACCTACACATATTAGCCATTCATATCTTAAAATTGATATTTATTTTATGATTGTTTCTCTAAATGCTAGATAATGTAAATCAGAAAAACATCTGTCGTTGTGAATAAAAATATAAAATCCTATTTGAAAATGTTTTAATATATATGCTGGCCGAACGTTGCAAAGCTACGAAAATAATTTGCAAGCGCTCCCCCCGGATTGAATTGTTTACACTATACATCCATCGATCCATCGATCGATCGATCCATTGTTGAGTCACGTAATGACGTAATGCTTTGCACCCCATCACAATAGTACAAACTTGACTTCGTCAACTTTGCACTAAAAAGGGGAAGGCACGTCTAACCCCAAAAAACATAACGCCACTCAACATTGACCTATTAAGAGCAGTTATGTTCAGTCCATCCCATCCAAATAATGTTGACAAGTAATTTCCTAAGCGATCTGTACTGTACCTGCGTATAGCTTCGCCAACACATTCATAACCATAATATCCTGGGCCAATATCAACCACCATTATAGGGTGCTCGGAATAGTCCTTTGAACCACAAATCACAATATTTTTAAATGCATCTTTATATAACGACATGAGTAAAGGAAGTGTGTCGTAGAAAGGATAATGGTAAATGATAATTAACAGGATATCGTCAAAGTAGTTCTTGAAACATTCACCAGCCTTTGTGTCGATTGGATTGTGGTATTTATCATCATTTGATGGGCTGGAAACTACAGCTGGCGATGGATGTACAATACCTACAAAAGTGTGAATGAAACATTCGAATTGACACATATAGTTTTTGGAAGAAAAAAAACAAGGCAATCACACAGCAATATTGAAATTTTCACACCGCGCGGAAGCGCTCTGGAATAAATCATGCACCATTCTATTTTATGGTAAGAACAAAATTCTCAACCACTCTGTGATTTATTTTCTCAAAAGCAAACGTGTTTTCCGCTGCTCGTCTTTATTTTTTTCTTGCTGTACGATAATAATTATGCGGTATTGCCCCCGAGCCAAGGGCGCGGAGCGCCGTTCCGTGCGTAAGCCCCTGGCGATGGTACTAATGGATCTATTCCCATTGCTCTGTCAGCTTGCCCGAAAGTATTTTGCGATCCAGGCTAGCAGTTCTCCATCAGAACGATTACAGGCAGGACAGGTCAGTACTCCATCTCGAGCACATTAATTAAAACCAGAAAATGTTGACATGCTTACTTTCCTAGCTGAAAACTTGTAAATACGTTCTTTTAACATTGTCTTCTTACTTCTATTTTAATACCGCTGTAAGCTTTTTATATTAAACATTCTTCACATAATAAGAACATGTGTCACACTATTTTATGCCTATTATAGATAAAAACCCGGTTTTTCGGGTTTTTCTTGACCTTTTTCGGTTTTGGTTTTTTTCAAGAACCGCCTCAGATTTCAATAACCGCCCCAAAAAACATTTTGTATATAATAATCTAGAAGAACAATACAAACAAATGAATAAACCTTGGTGATTGACGATTTTAGAATGGAAAATGGTAAACGATAATTAATTAACAAGATATCTTCAAAGTAGTTCTTTTTAAAGAACTACTTTGAAGATATCTTGTTAATTATCGTTTACCATTTTCCATTCTAAAATCGTCAAAAACATTTACCTGACTTTGTGTCATCAGGATTATGGTACTTGACATCATTTGATGGCTTGAAAACAGCAACTGGCAATGGATCTACTAATTTACCTACAAAAGTGTGAATGAAAACACGAATTGGCATATATCGTATTTGGGAATACAAGCCAATCTCACAGCAATAACGAAATTTTCATACCACGCGGAGTCGCTCCGGAAATCATAGTACATGCATCATTCTATTTTATAGCAGGTATGAAATTCTCCACCATTGTGTTCATTTATTTACTCAAAATTAAACGTAGAAATTAAAACAGGTCATCACAACTTATCCCCCTCCCCTCCCGCCAAATGGCCGATGAAATGGCCCAATGTTTACTAGAAAATCATATTTTTGGCTGCTCGTTAATATTATTTTTGCTGCACGATAATATGTGGTATGGTATTACCGTAAAGTCTCGAAAGTAAGCGCCCCCCTCGAAAGTAAGCGCCCCTCGAAAGTAAGCGCCTTTTTCAACACTTGCTAGAGAATCTGAAAAGTAAGCGACCCTTCGAAAGTAAGCGCCCCCTCAAAAGTAAGCGCCCCCTCAAAAGTAAGCGCCCCTTGAGGCCACTAATTTCGAAATTAAGCAGGGCGCTTACTTTCGAGACTTTATTATAAGTAATAGCATAGAAAGAGGCGAATTAGCTATTAAAACGTCCCGCCCGATGAGGGTCGTTTATCTATCCCAAGGGAATTTTAATAAACGACCCTCATCGGGCGGGACGTTTTCAATTGCTAATTCGCCTCTTTCTATGCTATTACCTTGTAATATCATGATTGCGGGTATTCCCGTTGTTCTCGCAGGGCATTAAAAACCAATTAACAATAAATAATGGTATAAATTAAATGGTATAATTGTTTTCCATGTCTTTGTTTAGTTTTGGCGATTTCATATATATTCATTTTTTCTAATCGTACCCGCTTTGACGTCGTTTCGGGTAGGATTAGAACTAATTCTACCTGATATGACGTAAAAGCGGGTAGGATTAGAAAAAATGAATATAATGAGGTGTATTAGTTATTAATTGCCCTGCGAGAACAAAGGGAATACCGCAATCATGATATTACGGTATTAGTGTTAGATATACCGGTCATATCTAAGTAAAACTCTTAAATTAAAGAAACTCTCTAATCCATATGTATACCATATATGCTGTATAGCATGGATTTAAAAATGGCCGATGCTGAAAATAACAACTCGAAAGTAGGCGCTCTTCGAAAGTAAGCGCCCTCTCAAAAGTAAGCGCCCCTTGAGGCCACTAATTTCGAAAGTAAGCAGGGCGCTTACTTTCGAGACTTTACGGTATTTATTTAATAGAAACATCGTTACGTTTCTTTTTTTGATAAGAGCCATGTGAACTCGTCATATCAACTCAATAAACAAGGGCAGATGTCGTGCTCGACCAATCAGCGCATTTGTTTACATTTTCGCTCTCAGCTAATCATAATGCAGGAAAAGCGAAATTTACACCAAGGCGAACTAGAAAATATTGCCGTCTTCTCGGGCTTATAGCACATTAAAATCTAAAACTTTGCCGTGGGCATTTTTAAATTTCGTCCTAGAAAGGAAATTAATATCCATGTTTGAAATTTTTCCCTATGTCGCGTGTACAAATTTGACTAATCTAATTTGACTGCAATAAAACTAAAAATTGCTATATTTTCTCTGCTTTACGTTTTTGTTGGAAAACTCTTTTCCGCTCTTGTTGAAAATCGTTTTGGTCAATGTAGTTCATAACCTGGAAGATAACGCGTTTAGAGAGACTGATTTTCTGCAAATTCGCTCCGACAATGGTTTTGTATTGATTTCCCGTATGATCGCGACCATGCGACTATATTTTTGCAGTTAAATTTAAAAATGCCCACGGCAAAGTTTTAGATTTTAATGTGCTATATCATAATCTTTTGGTTTTAAATTTAAAAAGTTAAAATTGAATGTCGCGGAAGTCCGAGAAGACGGCAATATTTTCTAGTTCGCCTTGGTGTAAATTTCGCGTTTCTAGCTGCATTATGATTAGCTGAGAGCGAAAGTGTAAACAAATGCGCTGATTGGTCGAGCACGAAATCTGCCCTTGTTACCAAATAGTTGACCAAATATGGAGTTTTGACATAATATTCAACGAGATGTCATAACACTGGATATGAAAAATCATATTCAATGTTATGAAAAAATCATACTTAATGTTACTTATGATTTCAAGCTGTGAAAACACAAATACGAAATGTGGAAACATGACCAAAATAATATGGCACCAACCTCGGCGGTGTTTGTAGATTTAAAGGAAACGACCTTGAAACTAATATAAAGCTAGACGAAATATCAACGTAAACTGTCGCAAAAGGTTTTGAAATATATTTGTTAACGTACTTATGAAAGAAAAAAGGAAATTTTTTTGCAAATGAGAAAAAGAACTGGTCATTATTTCGACGAATTTAAACCATGCTACTGTGCGAAGTTTTTACATTTTTTAAAATAGACAATTTAAATGGTTTTCGCGAGGTATGAATAATTAAACAATTTGAATTGGGTTTTCGCAAGATATGAGTCATATGACGAATTACAAGCCCTCAGTTTGTGTAACTCAACCTCAACGTTCGGCTTCGGTTGATAACACAATCTCCGGGTGTGAATCGAGGGTTTTTTATTTGTTTTTATTGCACTTCTAGATTATTTACCGTCAATTCTTTGACAATGGTTTGCGTATCGTACTAGCGTATATGGAAAATATCAATCATATGCTGGTATACGAGACGGGTAATAATAATAATAATAATAATAATAATTTAATTTGCCACCATTACAACATTTTGTAAGGAAAAAAGAAATTATTTACAATAATTAATGATAATAGTGGCGAGGAAGCTTAAAAAAGAAACCATAAGGCCTATGTAAATTTAAGCTTCCTCATTTATCGAGGGTACAGTATATATAAATATCAAATAACATTTCAAGATTTGATAAATTATGGATAATATGAGTGTACAGTAGGTATTAATGGATAATAATTAAATATAAATTCACACCAATTATAAATAGGTACACACTTGATTCTATTAGCGCACAGTAACAAAGAATATTCGTTCATTTCGTTATAGATATTTGTATAAGAAATAAAAAAAATCGTTTTAATGTATAAGGTAATTATTTATTTTATAATAAATAATTTTTTAATTTTCTTTTAAAAGAAACAAAAGAAGTAATATTAATAATATCAATAGGTAATGAGTTAAAAAATTTTGGACCCTGAAATCTTACAGAAAATTGTCGGATATTTGTACGACACAATGGAGTTCTAATGGCCATCGCACTCCTTGTATTATATGAGTGGACTTGATAATTTGATAGAAACATGTCATTAAATTTATTTGGTAAAAGACCACTGCAATAAGAGTACATAAGTTTACCCAGTTGAAATAGAAGAATATCATTAACTTTAAGGACAGAACAGTTCTTAAATAAAGGTTCTGTATGTGCATCAAATTTACATTTATTTAGAATTCTAATTGCTCGCTTTTGCAGTATATTGATACGATGAAGATTATTTCGATACGTTGAAGCCCAAACAATATTACAATATTGGATATACGGGTAAACAATTGAATAGTACAAAGTGAGTAAGGATTTCTTAAGTAGATAAAAACTGGCTCTTAACATTATTCCTATGGATTTAGACATTTTACGTGCTACATACGAAATGTGTGATTTCCAAGATAATTCCTCATCCAATACTACCCCTAAAAAGACAGTTTCTTTCACTTGCTCAATATATTCATTATTAATGATTATTTGAAAAGTATAATTATATTTCTTTTGTCTTGGTTTAAATACAATAAATTTTGTTTTTTCTAAGTTTAATGAAAGCTTATTTGATTTAAACCAGTCTGACAATTTTCTAATTTCAATATTCAAAATATTAGTTAATTCTATTGGGTCTTTATTCGAAATAAATAAGTTTGTATCATCCGCAAATAAGATAAGCTCCAATATACTTGACACATGGATTATATCATTGATATATATTAAAAAGAGCAGCGGACCAAGGATAGAACCTTGTGGGACCCCACATTGTATTTTATTAGGACAGGAACAGTAATCATTAAATTGAACGTATTGTGTTCTATTTGAGAAATAACTCTTCATCCAGTCCAAAGCTAATCCACGAATTCCGTAATGGTCAAGCTTATCAAAAAGAATATTGTGGTCTAAAGTGTCAAAGGCTTTAGATAAGTCTAAAAATACACCAACTGGGTACGTTAGGCATAGGTTGTATACGGTGGCATACGCATGGCCATGGATACGGAGAGGCATATAGCGCATATTAAACCATACATATGATTTATACACTACTCATGCGTTTCTCTCAAACGCAATAGTGTGACAGGGCCATTAGAAAAAAGAAAACATTTTGTATATAATAATGTAGAAGAACAATATACAAACACAATGAATAAATAAACCTTGCATGGTGATTGGCGATTTTAAATTTCAGAATTTAGAATAGAAAATGGTAAACGATAATTAACAAGATATCTTCAAAGTAGTTCTTCAAACATTTACCAGACTTTGTGTCATCAGGAGTAGGGTACTTGACATCCTTTGATGGCTTGAAACCAGCAACTGGCAATGGAGCCACTAATTTATCTAAAAAAAAAACACGAATTGGCATATATCGTATTAGGGAAAACAAATCAATCTCACAGCAATAACGCTCTGGAAAAAACATCATTCTATTTTATAGCAGGTATGAAATTCTCCACCATTGTGTTCATTTATTTATTCAACATAAAAAAGGAATGAAAACAGGCCATCATAATTTATCCCACCCCCCCTCCCCAATGGCCCAATGTTTCGTAGAAAATCATATTTTCGCTGCTCGTCTTTATTTTTTTTCTTCCTGTCTGTGCAATATATAGTAATATCTCCAGGTCATCTTATCTTCGATCCAAGACTTGGCGCTTGTTGTATGTTAATGTGTGCATGTCTGTCTGTGAGTATATTCTCAGTTTTATTCTATGTAGCACGTCCCATTCATTATCTATATAAAGTTCAGAACACAATTTGTGCACTTAGGCTATACGATAAGTTCGAAGATCTCTGGTGTGGAGTTGTCTTTGTATGATGATACAATGTGTTTTTTTTTTCGTCAATCTGGAACAACTATGTTTTTCAAGTTGAATGTTTTGCAAGTTTAATACTGATATTTTAATTGTACAAATTGTATTCAACTCTTGCAAGGGACATCACAACACATAATTCCACGTTAAAATTTCGGCGATTGTCTGCCAGGTTCAGACAGTGTTTCTTTGTGCTGTCTATTATTTTTGCCACGCAAACTCGCATGATTTCCTAGCGTGACGTAATATTCCCGCGTGATTACAACGCCTGATTGCAGACATAAAATTTGCTGTAGCTAAATACTTGTTAGTATGGAAATATAACTGCACAGTACCTGGTTTCATACTCGTATTTGTTCCTGGCATAACACCTAAAAATTTTGAAAACACGTCACATTTTTTTTCATAAATCTGGCCTGGGCTGCTGGGCAACGTTAAGAAATTAGAACGTCCTTTACTTATTGTGCAAATATAATTACGGCACGCTTATAAATCAGTTTGGCGAGATTTCTAGGCTTCGTATTTTAAGAAACTCAATTTCTTTCTACATTTTGTCTATGTATCTAAAAAACTGTTCTCAGTGAGACAGGAGTTGGACTGGTCCGAATACTTTTTAAATAATATTATATTAGCTGTGAGAAATCCGTAAAATTATGCTAAAATTTAAATAGGTACCTTGATTTACGTAACATATAGCTATTATAGTAAAGGGTTGTGCAGCAATAACATATACCCATGCAAACTAAAACAACCATTCATTCCACAATTTTTAGTTTAGGATATACGTTCAAAAAGATGTTTTAATCTAGTCTATTCAACACCCCTGGAAAACGTCTGCGTCTTCGTCAACCTTGACTGAAATTAGCCTTGCGAACGTGCTGTCAAAATGCTCAGGTTGTCAGTGACTCAATATGGACACGAAAAGGAGTGGTTTCCATGTGTGTGTTACGTTATAAAATAGGATTGTCACCAGAAGACAGACAAGAATACGAGAACTCTTTAAAAATACCTAACGATACGCTCTTAGAAGCAGACCTTATGTTTTGAAGAAATAAATGTGTCTTAAACTAAATTCTTGAGCAAATTTATGCCCACAAAACCACGCTGCCGCGCCATTTTAAGGCCTACCCTAACTCCCGCGTAATAAATAGCCCCTATATCTATCCATAACAATCCTTTAACGACTATAATGGCTTTGGCAGAGCACGTTCCAATATCCACAAACAATAACATTTCGATATATCTTGGACAAAACCTCTAACGCTCTATCCATTGGGATTGCATTAGTTGTACAAGTTCGTGTTCGCCTAATCCTTTTAATTTCCTCACCATGTGTCAACTACACTGAGGACGTTTGTGCTTCGCATCGCTAAATGCTAAATACTTTTACACACCGTGTATAACATTATTAGAGGATTACCTTGCAGTTTCAATATGAAGAAAAATGAAAAAGCTATCAATAGACAGCCAAATACCAGAAATAATTTCTTATAACCGATACGTTTTACACCACCTTGATTTATCTTCATTCTACAAATACAGTATAATGAAAGCAATTAACTTTAATTTATTTCTCGCTGTGATATAACTGCAGATGACCCCCGTCAGCTGCCCAATAAATAGCAATTAATGAAACGCACACTTTATTATTAGTGAGCATCGCAAATGTAATCTAGGAGACGTATTTTGACACTAATATTTTGAAATTGGTCTAGTAGAACCAAGGGTGGGTTGACTACAAAATTTTTGTAGTTGGCTATAACTACAGTTACTTAAAAAATATGTAGTCAGTACAACCACTGCTACTTTTGAACAAAGGTAGTTCGCTACTGACCACAGCTACTGCTTAAAAAATGTAGCGAACTGTTTCGCTATTTCGCTATTTCCCTACGCTATATTTTTTAGTTTTACTGTATTTGGAGCATCTATACTAACTCAGACTGTAATGTAACCTATAACAAATCGACTTGCGAGTAGCAACAGTAAACAAAAAGCAACATTTTTGTAATCACTACAGTGTTCAGGAGTGCAAATTGACTATTGAGTATCGATTTTAAGCAAACCGTGTCTCAATATCATGCTATTCTATCAAGTTGTTAACAATTTTTAAAAGTAGCGAATAGCGATTTGCTGTTTGAAAAGTAGTCAACTACTTGGCTACTTTTAAGCAAAATGTAGTTCGCTATAACTACAGCTACGGTTTTAAAAATGTAGTCAAAAACTACTGGCTACTTGAAAATTGTAGTTCGCTACAGTAGCGAACTACAACTAATTTGCTACTACCCACCCTTGAGTAGAACCAATAGCGCTATCCAAAGTGAGGGAATAGTCATCAAACCTATTCAAATTTTGATACTTAAATGTCAGTTCCGCTAAGAGCGGTCCGATGACTTTGACTTCGGAAAATAGATTTCCTTTATTTTTTTGTGTGTTGAAAGGCATTGGTATACAAGCGTCCAAAATAAATTTATTTTTTGAAAATTCTTTTTAATGGCTTCGCTAGACGCCGAAACTCATTTTACCAGTGCAGAGCTATTTTCAAGCAAAATCGAAGGTTGAATTTCGGTGAAGCGAAGTGAAGTGAAAGACTTTATTTACTGAGGGTAAACACGTGACAGTAAGAAACTGATAAACTTGTGGCCCTCAAAATTTACAAAATTTAAGATATTAGAACACAGTAACTATTTAAAGTTAAAGTTATTAAAACACGACCCTAACGCTGCAACCTATTTGCACGTTTTTGATCATCTAAAAACTGTTTATAAATACTACGCCTAAAACTAAAAGCAGAATGTATACTTCTAACGTTCAAATCTAATTTGTTCCAGTATATAATTGTTCTTACAGTGAAGGTTCTGCCTCCTTCTGTTTTACGATTGTAAATTGGGCATAGCATATTCAAATTCGAATAACGTGTATTCCTACTATGCCTGTCTATGGCGTTCCGTTCCGGTCAAAATTAGTTATATTCATAACATTTAGGTATAACACCGTGGCAATATGTCATAACTCTCAAAATAAAATTGAACCGTACAAAAATAAATTGAATCGCACAAAAATAATTTGAACCGCACAAAAATAAATCGAACTCGCACAAAAATAAATCGAACTCGCACAAAAATAAATCGAAAGGAAACGCACAAAAATAAATCGAAAGGAAACGGAAGTGAACACAAAATCGAAAGGAAACGGAAGTCGCTGACTAAATACGCGGGTTTGGTGAAAAATGAGGATACGGATTGCGGATAATTTTTTTAATTTCATATATAATTATATACATAACGCGCAAATATATTATGTTGTCAGTCGTCAGGCTTATTATTGTGCTTTATTTGAAATTATTTAGTTCTATATTTATACCTCTATTCGCAAACCGTGAAATCTGGGCAAAAGATTAAGCTTTGCAGCCCGTGATTACTACGTTGTTAAAGTTTTAGAACTTGTAATTCAAGCCTCATTAACATTACCCTTGACATTTTTTATATCTAAAGACCAGTTTTCCTTTTATAAGCTGAATAAATTTACGTGCTTTGTATAAAGCACAAATTTAACAACCTCGTACCCAGGGTATTTGCTCTTGGGGAGCGAAATACCCTGGTATGGCCTGGTCACGTGACCCGCGGATTTTGCGTAAAATGACGTATTGTTTACGAGGGTCAGGGGAGTGAATATACATTGTCACTCCTAGTAATTATATCACGCTTTTAAATTTTAATGTACAACCTCGTACCCAGGATATTTGCTCTTAAACAATACGCCATATACGCAAAATTCGCGGGTCACGTGACCAGGCCATACCAGGGTATTTCGCTCCTCAAGAGCAAATATCCTGGGTACGAGGTTGCAAATTTAATTGTTTATACAACATGATCTCGGGCTTCGTGGGTAACAAAAATGATAGTTTATTCTATGATAAAGAATAAAATTATTTCAACATTACATGAAAATTTCCCCCCAATTTTTATGCATCACTTAAAAGTACCTGAAAATAATGAAGAATGGCCTTAACAATTTATTCACAGCTTATCCCATTCCCAAGTTATCGGGCATTTTGTATTTTTGTGTTATGACGTCACCGGTTGTGCTTAAGGATGCCAGTAAAAAGAATCAAATCTAATATCTCAGAAGTGATTCAATGAAATTAAATTAAATTTGGTACAGTTGGTAAGTGCACCTAAGCAAACAGTTTGCAATGTTTACGTGGTTGTCATAGCAACACACTAGTTACCAGGTCTATCTGTCTTATTTTTCCAATTCCGGCTTTGCTTCCAACAAAAAGGAGAGGAATTTTTGTGATTTTCATTTATTATTATCGCTTTTATAGGTGCTATGGTGAATATAAACTACTGAATTAAATAAACATTTTGTTCCAAAGTGTCTACGGCAGGCGTTACTAAAATAAAAAGAGAGAAACTTGGTAACTAGTGAATTGCTATAACAACCATAGAAACGTTCCAAAATGTTTGCTTAGATGCACGTACTAACTGTACCAAATTTCATTCGAATTTCGTTGACTCACTTCTGAGATATTATACTTTTTTCTTTTGCACAGGTAATGTAATTTCCCCGCAGTGTTAGGTACTTACTTGAAGGGGAGAGGTAGTTCTCCGCTACTAGTATTGTGAGTATCAGTCGGAGAAGGAGAATTATAAAGTCTAATATCTCACAAGCACAACTAGTGACGTCATAACACAAAAAAATGCCCGCTAACTTGGGAATTAGCTGTAAATAAATTGTTGGGAATTGGAGAGAAATTTTCATGTCATGTTGTAATAATTTTATTCTTTATCATAGAATAAACATTGAGAATAAACTATAATTTTTGTTACCCACGAAGCCCGAAATCATGTTGTATAAACGAATTTGTGCTTTATACCAAGCGCGTAAATTAATTCCGCTTATAAAGAAAACTTGTCTTTAGATATCAAAAATGTCAATGAAGGGTAATGTTAATTAGGCTTGAGTTACAAGTTCTAAAACTTTAACAACGTAGTAATCACAAGCTTATCTTTTGCCCAGATCAGTCACGGTTTGCGAAACAGAGTTATTAATATAGAACTAAATAATTTCAAATAAAGCACAATAATAAGCCTGACGACTGATAACATAATATATATCCGAGTTATGTATATAATTATATATAAAATAAAAAAATTATCCGCAATCCGTATCCGCATTTTTCACCAAACCCGCATATTTAGTCAGTGACTTCCGTTTCCTTTTGATTTTGTGTTCACTTCCGTTTCCTTTCGATTTATTTTTGTGCGTTTCCTTTCGATTTATTTTTGAGCGAGTTCGATTTATTTTTGTGCGAGTTCGATTTATTTTTGTACGAGTTCGATTTATTTGTGTGCGGTTCAAATTATTTTTGAGTGGTTCAATTTATTTTTGTACGGTTCAATTTTATTTTGAGAGTTACGACATATTGCCACGGTGTTATACCTAAATGTTATGAATATAACTAATTTTGACCGGAACGGAACGCCATACCTGTCTGAATTTCGCGCTAAGAGTGAATTTAGATAGCTAGGAGTATTATAAGCACTATTTACACGCTTATACGCTAACATTATTCTCTTGATCAAAGACTCCTTCGTAAAAGGAAGCCAATTTAAAGTGTTAAATTAAACATAACAATTGACAAGCAAATTGAACGGTAAATTGTAGAGCCGCGCTGAGTCAAAACGCCTGACTATTTCCAAATTTCAACTAGATCAACAAGTTAAGATACAACGACAGCAACTTGACGGCACACCGGTTTTTTCTTCTTGTTCGGTCTACAAAATTACACTAAAATCGAACCCTGAGATCTCCAAATGGGGACCTAAAATTACGCTGAAATGTGCTTGGCTGAAATGATTTATACTTATTTTCAGAAGATCTGAAGAAAAACCTGCGGATATCAATCTGTATTTGGCGCGAGTTAAGATTTTCTGGAGCCCATAATCAATGATTTTTGCATAATTTATAGCTAATTAACATATTTCTTGAGAGGCGCTAAAAGTGAACAATTTCTTTCTGACTAACATGAAGAAACTACCACAGGCCAGAGCTAGTAAACCCTTTTTGTAAATATAGTCGTAATGTTCTTTTCCTGACACGCTGACGTTGCTGAGAGAGCTTTGTTTTTTAATGTTATGCCACATTCATTCAGTCTGCAGGGCCATAGCAGGCTGCAGCTCCCCCC